CACCTATACTTCATGTCAATGATGTAGCTGCTCATTTTCATACTCTGCAATAAATGGTTTTACAGCCTTGAACGAATCCAAATCAGGAAACTAATCAAGTTAAAACAAATATAACCCAAAGTACTTTTACATCCACTTCCCATTGAAGCCTCAGAAATAGTGCATGAATTTAAAAAAAAAAAAAGTGGATATAAATAAATAGTAAAAGGCAGGGGAAGCTAAGGGGTTTTTTTTTGATTGTTTGTTTCTTTAGCAACTGTGCTGGATTAAATTATGCAAAACTAGGACCTTATTTATGACATATAAGATTAGTTTAAGTGTTGACTCTTCATTACAATACATGGCAACAGACTTGGCTGTGCTGTTATGCAGTTGAGTGGTTAAGAAATGTACCCTGTATGTTGTAGTTAAATTTTCTTGTGTTACATTCAGTACTTTGCTGATTGCCATCTAGTACTGCTGCTGCACAACTTTTTACCTAGACTTCCACTTGTATGAATTCTGGCACAGAAATAAATCACAGACTTGCCAATGCTTCCATGTCTTTCACTGCTTTATTGACAGTATTGACTTCTTGATTTTTTATTTTTATCATTTTTCTTAATTTAATTTGTTTATTATAACTTGGTCATCTTTTTCTAGATACACAAGCACCAGTGGTCCCATACTGGCGCTTGCCTGGTTTGGGCATTATCATCTATCTACTGAAACAGAGCACTAATGATTTCTTCAGTTACTATGATAGCCATCGTCAGAGTGTTAACAAACTGCAAAATGTGGAGCAACTCCCACCAGATGAAATAAAAGAGGTAACATTTCTGCTGACTTTGTAGGGACTATGTTGCTTGTAACACATACAGCTGTACCAGGGACTCTGAAGTATCTTAGATAAATAAATAGTTCCAGTTATTTTACATGGTCCTTTCTGCTGTTGATAAAAGGAACCATAGAATGGGTGGCATAAAATTGATGGGGGGTGATACTGGACTTGTTAAAAGTTGAGTGGTTTTCCATTATGTTGGAGAACCATTATTAACGCTTTGGGACTGTTCATCCTGTTTCTCCTTGACTAAATAGATGTAACTTGTATAGTGTTTAGTAGCTGTAACATCTGCATCAGACCTTGGGTTACAGATGACAGGGTTGCAGAGAGAATGAGTACTTCATACAGAAACACTGTCACAGTGAACTAATAAACTGATTAATAAACCAAATGATCATTTTTCTTGACAGAAAAGTTGCTTGAGGATATAGTTAATTTATTCATTTTTTGGCAAGCAAGGTTATGCAAGTTAAAATTAAAGTGTAAAGTTTTGAAGAGATAACTGATTGACAGTAAGTTCTAGATACTGGTAAATAATTTTATTTGCTTATTTCTTTCATTATTCTTTCCTTCTGTTCTGACTTGCTATAATTTTCTTTTTTCCTCTTGACAGCTGTGTCAATCAGTTATGCCAGCTGGAGTTGATAAAATCTCCACTGCCCAAAAATACGTTTTGGCAAGGCGACGGCTGGTGAAGCTCATAAACAACCGAGCCAAGCTGCTTTCTCTTTGTTCTTGTATCCTTCTGAAATTGAAGTTAACCTCAAAGTAATTCCTTCCAAAAATGCAGAGAAATAGGAACAGGTTATTTTAACCTAGGTTTCTGACCACTTTGAACAACACATCATATAAAAGGAAAATTTGAAATACAGAAACTTAAAATAGTACACATTGTTCTGCTACTTTTAGGCTGTAAGTATTTTTTAAGTAATACTACGACTGGAAGATGAGGTCAGTGATAAATCCCATCACAGAGACACCCTTACTAGGATTTTTCTTAATTATGATGAAGCACTTATTATTGTTAATATTGCCAATATTATTACCGACCAGCTCTTAAATTTAATATCCAGGCCCACTAGATATGTACATACATGTACAAGTGTGCTGGCAAAAATTCTCTGAAAAATAATTCAGATGCTTATGAGAGCGACTGGAGTTCCCAGTGTTACAGTGAATTGTGCATAAGCTTTTTCTTGTGAATACCATTAATTCTTTGGAAATAACTAGTACTGCACAAAATAATTGTTGCAGAGGCTCAGAATTTTCCTCTGAAATCTAGCTTAGGAAAGATATGCTCTTGCAGACTTGCATGTTGTAGCTGGTACAGCCACTTCCAGCTTTACAACCTGAGCTTTAACACACTACTGCAACTGAACTACCATTACAAGTCACAATAAGTGTAGCAGTCATTTGAACTAGCCTAGCCAGTACGGAAACAGGTAAGGATCCATGTGATCCATTCCAGGCCCTCATTATCAGCAGTGGGGGTGGGAACCTGCTGCTGGAGGAAGTTACAGTTGCTGAGATAATATCTTCAACTGCTTCTAAATGGTTGTCTAAATATGCTTATATAGTAAATGTACAATCTAAAGACAAACTTGAACTCCTTCACTTAGAAATATGTCAACAGATATTATAGAAACATGTCTCTTCATTCTTTGGCGTCATCTGGAACACTATCTACTGAATTACACACCCACTGACTCCCAAGACTCATTGCTATCTTCCAGAATATCATTTAAGAGAGGAAGATTGCAAGGTAAAATTTCTGATAGATGCTTTTGAGTTAATCTGATGGTTAAATTTAAAACCAATTTGTTACTATTAACATTTTGCCATTTATATTTAATGAAGAGGTTTTGTTTGGATTTGGATATATGTTTAGACTTTCCTTGGAAGAAATGACGATGCACGTATTGTTCAGCCACAGACTTTGGAGTGTTGTCTATTACACACAATCTTCAAATGAACTACTATTTTATTTATTTATGTAGTTCAAACAGAGTGAAGTTCAAATAATGAAATCAGACCGGTGATCCAAAACGATGCATATGAAAACATTGTAAACAAAGAAAAAATGAAGAACTAGAATGGAGACTGGTGTTTTTGAAAGCGCTTGTTAGAATTACAGGCACTGTTGATTTGACAGAATGTGTTGAATTTTGATAGAAGTCAGAAAGATTAGTGACTTGAGGAGGAACTTTTTGCTTAAAGTTTCACGTTGTGTGATCATGGCTGCTCAGTGACTTAGAGAAAATACGTTAAGTCAAAAAATTACTTTAACTTCTAATATGCAAGTTTAGTGACAAATTTTGAGTATTGCAGTTTAAAATTATTTATGACGGTGTGGAAAAATCATGTTGTTGAGTAGCCAACAACCTCTTATTTTCTATCACTAGATTCTTTTGGTTCAGAGTCCAGCTTGGATTTCAGCAGTGGACTGAATCGAGTGAGTCAGCATGATATAGATCAGGTAAGATGTCACAGTCTACTGAAAAATACAGATTGTTACCGTACAGCTATTGAGAGCAGTCTGACTACAATTCTCCCATCTCTCAACAACCTGTGGTAACATCAACAGTAAATAACTTGATTTAGAACTAAAGATGTATTGCACACTTTTTTTAGGAAATATTATGAAGCAGGTAGCACTTGCAGTGCTGCACACACATTTTCAAGACTTAATATGTAAAAAGAAAAATTGAGCTAGAGTATTTCAAATAAAACTAATCACTTTTTTTTAATAAACCAGACAAATGGTATGCATTTATTAATAACAGCTCCCTGAAAACATCAGTTATCTTGAAAGGTTTTCAATTTGAGGGCAGGATGCCCAAGTTTCTGTGATTCTGTAACTGTTTACAACAGGTCAGCAGCAACTGACCATAGAGAAATGAGATTGGAAAGGGTAACAGAAATTGAGCAGACTGTAAAGTGTGAATATTTACAAACGGAATCGTTTTATTCTTACACAGAAATTTAATAGTCTGTGTTAATTGGGTGCAAAAGCAGCAGAAAAAAAATACCATTTTTATTAAAAAATTCCATTGACATTTCTGCTGCTGTTTGTGCACAAAAAAGGAGCCTGTGTTCAAAATCTTTTGTAATCTCAAGCACCTTTATAAGAAAAAGTTTTGTTTAATTCCTAAAGATTGTAAAGTATTGTGAAAAAACTGATAGATGTTGACAGGTGATAGATGAACAGATGTTCTAGAATGATAAAATTTTGTATTGTTGACTGAAACAAATCTGTTTCTCAGCTTCAGATTGAAACCACCAACAGTTTTGGTGAATCCCTACAGAAGAAACTTCTGGACATTGAGGGGTTATATTCTAAGGTTCGGTCACGTTACACCTTTATTCAAGCTCTTGTGAGACGCATCCGTGGTCTCCTAAGGATATCAAGGACCTAAAAGACTGATACATGAAGCTTGCCCCTTGAAGCAGTGTATCTGGGCAGGCCTTCTGGATCATCGGATTTTATAGATGACACATTTTCTAAACAATGTCCAAAAAAAAAAAAAAAGCATTTTTGTTACCTTTTTTTTCTTATCCCTTTGGATCGGTTTTGTGCATTCTTTCTTACTGCTCCCAACTTGAAAGGAAAAATAAAGAATCATTTTTAAGTGAGTTCTGATTAATGTAAGAACTACAGCAAGAAAGAATTCAAATGGAGTACATAAAGGAAAGAAAAGCTGTTGTGATGGTACCAGACTTATGGATGCTCTCAGAAAAAAGGGAAAGGTTTGTGTGTTCATACTGTTCCTGCTTCACACATATTTAATGTGATTGGACTCTGTGATATGGATTTTATGAGAAAGGTCATCATTTTTATGCTGTAAGCTACTTGTTTATCTTCCCCATTGCCCTGCCTTTTTTCAGCTGACATGGATACAAGCTTCCTCTCTTTGGAGAACTCTAGGTACAAGAAAAAGAAAATCCATGAGGAAAGACACAGGTGACAGCCATAGATTATGTTCTTACAGCTTGGAAAGCTAAAGATTTCTGTGGTGCTTCAGCAGGAAGACAGAATACAGTGCTTGAAGAGGGAGCAGGCAGGTTTGAGTGGCAGATTGGTTCTGTAATTAGAGATTATTCTTAGATTTTCATATCTCATTGTCTCATGTAAAAAAACGTGAGACTGATTGGATTTCTTACTACAGTGTCTGATCTTACAGCTCACTTCTCTGCACGTGCCTTGTGAGTTGTATCCTGAGCTGCCACTATGTAGCGTTTCACGTTCTTGAGGATTTTATACTTCACATAATTAATGTGTGCTGATATTATCTTTCACACAGGGCTGGTTGTTCCCTGCTGTCAGACAAGGGCTGTTATCTGTTCTCTAAGAATTACTGGTTATTAATGATTTACAGGGCTGCCTTTTGCCTGGTGCTTCGCATCGCTTTTGTTCATCTATTCATCAGTGAGAATCAGGAAGCACTGTATTTAATGAGAAAGCCTGTACTAGAACTAATTTGGGGATTCTGGTGGCTCAGACATCACGCAGCGCTGGGTGGAACGCTGTTGTTTGTGACGGGTAACACTTCCACCGCCATTTTACACAGCGCAAGTCTCTGCCTTTCGTGCAGAATCCCACAGCGATTCGGATCTTGTGTGTTTATTTGGTCACGGCGGGAGCGATCGGCGCGGATACACCTGCGCTTGTACCGTCGTGGATGCAGGAGGGGCAGTGAGGGCGGGGTGAGGGTGGGAGGAGGAGGTTATGCCGCACCGCCCTCATTTCCGCACACGCTGCTTCCGCGGCAGCAGATTCGTCATTTTTCCTCGTCGGCCCGCTTTATTAATTTCTTCTTATTTCTCCTTTCTTTTTCCTCCCGCCCCGCGTACCTCTGTATCAGGAGTGTTAGGGTCGCCCTACGCTCTGTTCTCCCTTCTTACTTGGAGGCAGAGCCCGTCCCGCCCCGGTGTCGAAACGGCGAAGCGGGGTGGGGGGGGGCGCCTCTTTTACTCGCCGCGGCGCGCGACGTGGAGCTGCGGGCAGGCGAGCGGCGGCGCTGACAGGAGCGGCGAGGCGGGCAGGGCCCGGCGCAGCGGCTCGACATGGGTGAGGGCAGCGGGGCAGGAGCGCGCGGTGGGCCGGGTTGTGCTTGTAGCGCGGAGCGGTGAGGGAGGCGGAGACCCCGAATGTAGGGGTTGGGCGATTCGTGCGAGCCTAACCTACGCGGACGTGGCGTTAGAGCAGGGTTTTCGTGTGGCCGAATGGCGTTGTGCAGAGGGCTGTGCGGAGCGGGGAGCTGCGTGCCGCCGTTCTGCCGATGGGCCTCACGGCGCCGTTCCGACGCGGCGATGTGCGCTTGTCGGCAGCGTGACTTGGTGAGCGCCCGCCGAATTGCGCTTCGTTTGAAGGAAGGAGAAGCAGGTGGTCCCGGGAGAGATTGTAGGCGTCAGGAGGAGTGCTTTCTCGTACCGCAGTGTCCTTGTGTGCTGGGCTCTTGCTTTGACAAGGCAGAGGCTGATGCAAACGAAGGAGGAGATGGCTCAGATTTTGGCAAATGAGAAAACTAACCGCAATGAGGAAGCTCGATGCTGCTGCAAGCTTCGTTTTGCCGGGAGATTTATGATAAAAGAATTGCACGAGACCATGAGAGAAGGATGTGTTTCAGCACTCAGAACTTGCCTTTTTTCTCTGAATGTAAGAGATGTGCTGCTGGTCAGGAAGAAGGACAGCCTCTGTTTGCCAGCTGACCTGGAGGTGGCTTTCTGTTCTGCTTTTATTTTTTGTAGGGGGCTTTTTCTCCACCATCTTTTCCAGTTTGTTTGGAACTCGAGAGATGAGGATTCTGATCCTGGGGCTGGATGGAGCCGGAAAAACAACCATCCTGTACAGGTTACAGGTTGGAGAAGTTGTTACCACCATTCCAAGTAAGCAGTCGGTCCGTTACTAAATGCAGCTGATTTGTTAGCTCTGGTATGTCAGAGCTTACTTTGTAAACAAATGCACCTTATATTGTTGCAGCCCGGCACCTGCCTTTAAGAACTTTCTCTTACGCTCTTACTGTATGCTATAGAAATACAACAAAAAGGAATCTTTTATGCTGCTCTACTGAATGCAAAAAGTACTTGACTTCAAGGTTGTTACTATGATTGGTAGGCTTCTCTAACTAGTAGCTATGGACTGTTGAATTTTTTTGTCTCTAGACATAGCACTAATGTGAATTCTAGAGTTTGTTGTTATTGTACATATCAAATTTTACATAGGATGTGATCGATGAGTCACACCTATTTAATTTAAGGGATGTGGTTTAGTAGGGAAATATTGGTGGTAGGTGGACTGTTGGATTGGGTGTATTTGGAGGTGTTTTCCAACTTTGGTGATTCTGTGATTATCACTTCTTGTTATTGACAAGGGTCTTAAGCTTGTTATATAAACACTTCTATTTAACACAGAAAACTACCTGCATTTCTTTTTGTGTTCTACATTCTGTAGAAAGTGTAGCAATTCAGTGTGAGATGTCATAGTAGGAGATATTTACTTAAAATATAACTAATTTCACCAATTGTTCTAGTGTCCATGCCATCATACCCACACATAACAAACATTGAGGTTTGTGTGCTGAAGTTTTCTGGCTGAAACCATAGAATCAGAATAGTTTGGGTTGAAAGGGGCCTTTAAGACCATCTAGTTCCAACCCCCCTGCTATAGGCAGGGACACCTCCCTCTAGACCAAGTTGCTCAGAGCCCCATGCAGTCTGGTCTTGAATGCTTCCAGGAAGGGGGCATCCACAGCCTTTGTGGGCAGCCTGTTCCTGTGTCTCACCACCCTTGCAGTAAAGAATTTTTCCTGATATTTAGTCTAAATTGTAGTGTATTGTGAACTAGATGGGGGTGTAACATGAAGGACGGGGCATATTGGTTGTTGAATCCTTGCCACATCTGTTGAAGTCTTCCTGAATGGCTGGGATGAACTTGACTGACTTTGGTCAGGCCTTTTAGGCAGTCCACGTTTGTTTGTTTTCCTGCTCTGTGTTTCTCTGTGGTGACAAGGAGAGGAATGACAGCTATATATGCTGTAACTTTGTGATATCTGAAAGATGGCAGTAATGTAAAGCCTTCTGCTGAGAAGCAGTCTCTGCTGTGATCTTTCAAGGCCACAGATCTGGTGTTGATGTGTAGGATATGTTCCTTAGCAATTCTATTGCTGTCAGTTGTGTACTTTGTTATCAAAGCACGCTGCTCTTTTAACTGCTGCTTTGTTTCCTTTGATGCTTTCAGGCACACTAATATTCATTTATAACAACTTTAGCATTTGTTGGCAGGTCTCTATAATATGTTTATGATGCATTATTTTTAGCCATAAATGCCTGTTGGAGTCACTTCTCAAGGGATGTGAGCATCACTACATTTCTCATGAGGAATTTTTAGGCATGATGATATTAAACTAAGTGTATTTCAGGAAAAAAAAAAAGGATCATCAGTAAAATTGTGTAACTTTATTTCAGCAATTGGCTTCAATGTTGAAACAGTGACATACAAGAATCTGAAATTTCAAGTTTGGGATCTGGGAGGACAGACAAGCATAAGGTAATACGTGTCTAAATATGAAAGGATGTCATCAAATTTCTGTAAAAAGTGCTTGCAAAGTTCTTGAAATTCTCATAGCTGTCTGTTCTGACGGTTGTTTCCTTTGAGTTTGAAACCAGCTCGTTGACAAGAGAGCGCTGTAGTTTGACAGGGTTCTGTTACTGCCACCTCTGTTTTGGACTACAGGTGAATTAATTTCACTGGTATACAGTTCTGCTTTGAAAAGCTAGTTGACTTGTGTAGCATGGAATTAGGCAGCATGCTGAACATTTATATTTAAATATTCATATTTTTAAGAGTGCAAAGCTATAAGATTATATTTGAACATAGGCAATAATTTTTTTGAGTAGTGAGCTTTGAGTTTTTTAACAAACCATTCCATGCATAATTGTAATGGTTTGTGCAGGACCCCTGTGTGCCCTCCTCAGGATTACACTTTGAGCACTGTTCAGTAAGGGGCAGTGCTTGTTTCCTTTTCCTTTTTAGCTCCAGTAATCCTGAAAAAGATGGTTTGTTGTGACCCTCAGTAATTGCATACCTATATGAATTAGCTGTTTGAACAATTCCTCTTAGTTTTTGCTGGTGATTTTTTTGTACCAGTCTGGTCCTTTTCATAACCTCATGATGATAAATTCTTTCTTTTTTTACCCCAGAGAGAATTGTTACTTCCTCTGGTTGGTTTTTCATTATGTGGCTGTAGAGTGCTGCTAAACCTTCAGATGGCTTTTTTTGTCTTCTGCAGGCCATACTGGCGATGTTACTATTCCAATACAGATGCAGTCATTTATGTAGTGGACAGCTGTGATCGAGACAGAATTGGCACTTCAAAATCAGAGCTTGTTGCTATGCTGGAGGTAAGAAAATGAGAACAATGGTCATATGAGTGAAATGGAAATGAAGTGTTACAGTTCTTGGAGCAGATGTGAAACTTGATTCAGTGGTATCATGTTCAGTTGTGAAGTTTCAGCCATCAGAACAGGCCCGTGCAGCACTTCTAACTGAAGCAAGCTCAATGTGCTGTAGGTATTTTATATTTCTGCACAGTAGTTCTCTGGACAGTAGGTAACATTTAGCCTTTGGTTGCGTGAAAACTTGCCTGTCCACAAGCTGCTCAGTGCATCAGTGGTAGAAAATCAGGCCCTGAAGGGAATTCCAGTGGTGTCCTACTGGGTAGTGAAGAACAGTAATAAAGGGAAGATGTGTTAAGTGAAAGTTCTTTTTCTTCCAAAAGTGCTATAAGCTTTTTAATTGTATGCTTTGTCAAATCTGCCTCCTGTTTACAGTGCGCTGTTACATTATGAAATCTGCCTTGTTTTGAAAGTGCTTCTATGTGATGTGGGAGCAAATGGAATTCAAAATAGGTGTCATTCTTTTGGTGATGCACTAAAATTGGCAAACTGGAGGAGAGTCATGATAGAAGCTGCTTTTTGTCCTACAGGTTTTCTCTGCATAAATAAAATTAGTTAAAAATCCTGGCAAACAGTTTGGCATGATTCTCATTTCTTAGGAAGAAGAATTGAAGAAAGCCATTTTGGTGGTGTTTGCAAATAAGCAGGACATGGAACAGGCCATGACTCCCACAGAAATGGCAAATGCACTGGGCTTACCAGCACTGAAGGACAGAAAATGGCAGATATTCAAAACTTCTGCTACTAAAGGCACTGGGCTTGATGAAGCAATGGAATGGTGAGTAAAAATCTGATTGTTAGCTTTATTAGTGAGGTGTCTTAACACATCTTCTTTTGTAAAGAAGAAAGATGGAAAGTCTGATGTAAAAGCATTAAGGTATGAATTACAGGTTTGCAGAGCTTCTTTGGTAATTGTCAGAACAGAAAGATGAGCATTTCAGGACTTGCCTGTTTACTGTGCCCTCTAGCTAGGGCTGTATTGCTATGGGCAGTCATCTTAAAACAAGAGCCCTCGTAAGTTGAAAGGGTAGCTTACTCCTAAAGGTGTCCTGGTATCTCTGAAATGACTTTTCAATAAACTGCTTTACCCTTTTTCCTAGGTTGGTGGAAGCCTTGAAGAGTAGACAGTGATACAAAGCTGACAATTGCCAAGAAGTTTCAACTACGTCCAGCATCCCTCTTTCTGCAGTCAAGTATGGTCAGGCCACAAGTACTTGTAAATAGGGCAGGTTTGCATTTGGGTCACGTAATGTGGATGCCTCTCTTCAGATAGAAAACTGAACCCAAGTGGATGTCTGTGTACATTATGACCTTCATTTTCTTTCTTTATGTTTAAAGATGTGCTTAATAATTTGTATGAAAGTTTTTCTGGAGGGCAAAGGGATTTATATATTCTTTTTCCATTCACTGGGTAGTTTGAAGTTGGTGTGGTTACTCTATTTGTGTAATTAAAACACTAATAAAATCCACAATGATCAGCTGTACTTAAAGGTGTGTTGCTTGCTTGCAGAAGCAGAGTTGAGTTCAGCTGCAGCCAGTTATAACAGACATGGCTGAACATTTCAGGAGGTTTCCTTAAGCTGCTGTTGTTATGCTTCAGCATCCCTCAGTGCAGGTACACTGTTACAATAAGGTACAGCTGTTAACAACTGTACCTGTTAACATAGCATCACTTTTTCTGTTTCTCCAGTAGCTGCCTGCTGCCCTGATGTGGCACGGCTGTAACTTAACTCCCCCCTTCCCTGAGCTGTTCTTCCTATACTCTGTACTTAGCTGCAAATGAGTCAGCTTTCTCCCTACAGCTGTGGAAGCTGAAAGACAAATCAAGGTCAATGCAGTCTGTTTTCTCCAGAAGGTAGGAGGGGCACAGGCATGAATGCAGTCATCATATAACCCATCTTTTAAACATGAAGTAAAAATTCAGTGTAAAAAATCATACTGGTTGTCCAATGAACTTTACATTCTCTAATAAATATACAGGTTTTGGAAAAAGAACAACCCTTAAGCTTTATTAAAAAGCTTTTATTTAAGATCATCGATGAAAAAGAAGACATGGAAAAAAATACAAATAAATACAATTAAAATATGTAAATACTCTTTTTTTCTCCCCAACAGTATTAACTTGAAATTCATTTTTACAAATTCACCTTCTGGGAAGAAGATGACTTTTCATTCCACCATTGCTAAGTCTTTCAGTGCATGACCACGATGTCTCTTGGCCTTATAGCTGGGGCGCAGGAATTCTATTTTTCTCTTCCTCGTTTCTGCTTTATTCTTGTGTCTCTTCAGCTTCCTCCTTGCAGCAATGTCAGGGTTTGCCACAGTCTAATGAAAAAGAATGTTTGTTTAGTTAAAGCTGTAAATGTCAGAAAGTTCCCAAGAAATGTGTGCCTAACAGGCCTAGTGCACTAGCTCCAAGGCTTCTCAAAAATGAGGGTCTTCTGGCTGCTGGAGCCACGTTTATTGCTGCTCTTCAGGTAACCTAAACAGCAGGGCACTGGGATCGATCAAAACCTGCCCACAGGTTTATTTGCCTTAAATGAAACCACAGCATCATAGAACGTTCTGAGTTGGAGGAGTCCCCAAAGATGATTGAGTCCTGGCTCTGCATGAGGCCACCCTACAAACCCCTTGGTCTAGGAGCGTTCTCCAAGTGCTCCTTGAACTCTGGCTGCTCAGGGCTGTGACCAATGCCACCATCATTGCTGCAGTGCCTGATCACCTTTCTCAGTAGTTTCTTGTTTCTGTTTCACAAACTACCCAAATTCAGGATGAAGTTATTCTTCACACTCATCTCCCTGATCAGCTCTCAAGCCTTTAGAAAAGCCCTGTTTTCCTTTTCCCAGAAGAGGAAGCAGAATAAACTTACCTGCAAAGCCCTCTGCTTTTTCCTCATAGCTCTTTTCTGATTGGCCTGTTTCTGCACAGAAGAAAAGGCAAGCGAAAAAGCCTCCAGACCGACTAATTTCTTGAGCAGTTCTATAATTTCTTGGGAAAGGTTCTTCAGTGTTGGATCTAATAAAACAAAATAAACTAGCTTAATCCTTTCAGCATATAGAGCAAAAGCCAAGAACCCAATGGGGAATTACCCTTTTTACTAAAAGCATTCCTACTGATGGATCTCGCCCAGTATTTCTGCAGGCACAGTCCCAAAGACAGAATCAGAGAATCACCAAGGTTGGAAAAGACCTCTGAGATCATCTAGTCCAACCATCCATCCACCACCAGTATTTCCCTACTAACCCTGTCCCTCAGTACCATATCCACATGGTTCTTGAGCACCT